TCATGGGCAGATGAAGCAGTATAACGCAGGGGCACCATTTGAGCGGGTGGCCATGGATGTAGCCGGTCCATTCCCTATGAGCAAACAAGGAAACAAATACGTTCTCGTGGTTATGGACTATTTCAGTAAATGGCCTGAAGTTTACCCAATCCCAAACACAGTTGCGAAAACAGTTGCGGATGCATTCACTAACAATTGGGTTACCAGATACGAATTGCACTCAGATCAGGGAAGAAACTTTGAATCAGCGGTGTTTGAGGAGATGTGCCAGATACTTGGTATTCGAAAACCCGAACGACAGCCCTACATCCTCAATCAGATGGTATAGTAGAGCGATTCAACCGGACCCTGGAAGAGCACTTGCGGAAAGTAGTGCATATACCGCTTTTCCTGATGGGATATCGGTCCGCCGTACATGTAACTACAGGGCAAACATCTGCTAGGATACTCTTTAGTAGTGAACTACGGTTGCCCAGCGATTTAAAATTTGGAGTAACTGGCGATGCGAGAAGAATTGGGAAGGTAACGTCTACCGATCTCGAGGAAGAGCTAAGAGAGGTACATGCTCTTGTGAGACAGCGAACTCAAATTATGAGTGACAAAATGAAAGCTAGGTATGACAAGGCGATGAACTCCGAGGGTTTCCAAAATGGAGATTCGGTGTTTCTGTACAATCTAAAACGGAAGAGGGGTTTGTCCCCAAAACTTCAATGTAATTGGGAAGGTCCATACAAGATAATCAAACGACTAAACGATGTAGTGTATCGAATCCAAACCGTTGGGAGTCCAAGAAACAAGATGAAAGTGGTCCACCTAGAGGGGCTTGCTGAGTTTGGAACTGCGAATGTGTCTGATCGGGACGATCAGACTTAGGTGGAGGGCAGTGTGGCGAAAATGCGAGGCGATTGTCAGATGAAAGAGAGAAGCCGATAACTAGTATATTCTAGAAACGATAAAACAAGAACCTTTGATAGTGAGCAACTCGATGCTTCTACGCTTTCGTCTGCGAGCAGCCGACTGCTATATAAAGGCGACACTCAGCTGCAAGTTAAGTTAGTGACAAAGTGAACTGGTTGGCGTTAACATCAGTAAAGTCGTAAAGTAAACGCGTTGGAGATTACATTTAAGTAAAGTAAATTGTCAAAGTTGATACTAGTGATTGTAAATAGTAAAGTGTGATTGAATTGTGAATTACTGAATAAATAAAGGACATAAGATAAATTCTTTATAACGAAAGAAACTACAAATTAAGATTTTTTATTTAACAATCCAGAGATCGTACCCGAAGGATTCAGAAAATCATCGAGGTTCATTCAGCAATATGTAGAGCGTTGGGTCATTTTAACGATCGGAAAATCGTTATAATTCGATAGAGAATTCCCATACTGGTTTTATTGACATCTATATATTGAACCTAACATAAATTTCATAGCAGGTGATTATGCGATTCATTCCCATAAATGCCTTTTTAATAAAACAAAAAATTTTTGAGTTGATATATGAGTTTGACAGATATCAAAATACAGCCCTGTAGTTTATGCATCACGAAATGAATAAGCATATCAGTGTACGTGAATATGCTTTGCTTAAGGCTGCAAATACCCAACTCACTCTCCAGCCGTCCATAAGTGTCGACGTCGAGGCGAGATAAAGGCTGCAACTACCCAACTCACTCTCCAGCCGTCCATAACTGACGACGTTAGTAGTGAAATACATACACGAGCTATCGACGCCGCTGAGAGCGGCGAAATGTTGCCAGCTGCCTGTGTGTTTGCACACTTTTGAACAAATTCATAATTTTCGTCAACNTTATGTTAAAGCAAATAAATTATGAAATTCGTTGACGAAAATTATGAATTTGTTCAAAAGTGTGCAAACACACAGGCAGCTGGCAACATTTCGCCGATCTCAGCGGCGTCGATAGCTCGTGTATGTATTTCACTACTAACGTCGTCAGTTATGGACGGCTGGAGAGTAAAATGGGTAGTTGCAGCCTAAGTCAACGATTATTAATATTCTCACAATTGTTATCGATTGTTATTACAAAAATTTGTCCTGAAGTTTATATACTGGAAATTCATAAGAGATTATTACCAAAGAAAACTTAAATAAAGTTTCATATGGATCAGCACGAGTTCGTATAATGATAATTTCTGCCAAGCGAAAGTACTAAATCCTCTTTTAATATAGCATCAAAATAATGGCAAAAGCTATTGTGTGTGAAGATTGCACATTAGTTGGTGACATCACTATTTCGCCTGGATGTGTAATACACCCCAGTGCTTCTATTATTGCTGAAGCTGGACCCATAGTGTTAGGAGAAAATTGTATCGTGGAAGAATACGCTACAATTGCATTCCGGTTACCCGTAGGAAATAAAATTGATCCTTCAGCGGACGTTCGAACTCTAAACATTGGTCCGAATAACGTTTTCGAAGTAGGCTGTAAAGTTGAAGCTTGTCACATTGGAGAGAAGAATGTATTTGAAAGCAAATGTTATGTTGGACCTTGTGTATTCGTTTCAAGTGGTTGTATTATTGGAGCTGGCGTTAATTTAGTTTCAGAACAAAAATTACCAGAAAATACTGTTATTTATGGAAGAAATTGTCTTCAGCGGGAGGCCATTGATAAGCACGGGGTGAGCAAAACATCATCTCCCATTAAGATTTCTATACTAAATAATTAAAATTATGTAGTATGTGTCAGTATTCAAGCTATTCTTATATTAAGTGTTAGCATCTTCTGCTATTACTAACCAATTATAATGCTTCTGCTATTTACAGTCTCAAACATTACAAATTGACTTTCTGCGGAAGGTACTGCCAAACTATCACCACCTGCGAAAACCAAATTATGATCCAAAAAAAATACGGTTAGCAGCTTAAATAAAAAATAAATACATTCAATATAACTTTATACAACAGACTTCTTATTTGTTTCTACATGTGATTTGACTTCGGATTCAAACGTGTTTATAGTATGATCACAAAGGGCTTCCAAATCATCTAATCCTCGCTTTAAAATATCTATCGCTCTATTTTGATCCGATTGTATTCTGAAATGCATTTTGCTTTCGGTTGGGTGAGGTATCGTATAACCGCAAAAATCTACATCTGGATACCTGCTTATTATGGTTTTTAAAGCGTTGCCTAAAGTGTGTCCCTCATTTTGGAAAACAAATGTGCGTGAACCTTCGCCACTATTTTCATCACCGGCAACCTACAAAAGAAGCAATTAACACAAATATATTATAAATTACGTTAAATACCTCTGCCAATGCACCCATTCTTTAATTATTCCCGTAAACTCTTAAACAAATATTCCTTAAGATGCAGTGAAGTTTCTCGCTGCTTGAGTAATATTTTGCACATTTATAAGATACACGTTTAGCTACACGAATAATGTTTATGTTATCGATAATTAGGAAATCGATTTGAGACAGTGCATTAATTTTACTAGCATTAGGGCGCTGGCAGGTAGGACTATTGAGTCGCGGTGCGTCTCGGATTAACTTTGATGTAATTGATTAATACATGCACGTCTACGAAACTTCCTGAAAAAAAAACAGAGTTTTAGCACTGTAATATACACTTGTATTTTCTTTAAAGCTGAAATTTTATTGATCACTCGCCAAGCTGTTCTAAAAATTATTAATTTTTTCATACCAACGATGTAGATCGCCATCATTTATTTGCAATAATCATTGGATCACAGCACAATTTTTTCAGGTATACAGAGCAGTACAAATAAAATTAATTTGGAATATTATCCGCGTCAGGGTAAGAAGTAGCCTTGACCCTTGGAACATAACATATCTATACACGAAAAAATGTAGGTCCTAAAATTCTAGAGAGCAAGGAGGGGCTTGTTCAAATAAAACTCAACTCTGTATTAAACTAGGCGAAACATCAAAGGCTGATTCGAGGCAATGTTACAATGAAAGTCTAAAAATAATCTGCTATTTTTAAATTTTTGTTGTTTAACAAAATTTGTAAAACATGGTGAAAATTAAATTAACTAATATGAAATAAATTGTAGTGTAATTTTCCTTCTTTTCTGAAGGCTTAATATTATATGCAATGTAAAATTTATAAATCCCAAGAAAGTTGAATTTTCTGTAACACTTGGCTTGTGACCTAGCTTCGCTTCGCCCCATCCACTTTTTATTCTTTCTTATTGTTACGATTTTACTGAATCAACCTCGATTATTTTCTAGATCCTTCGGGTACGATCTCTGGATTGTTAAATAAAAACTCGCCAACTTAATTTGCAGTTTCTTTCGTTATAAAGATTCTATCTAATGTCCTTTATTTTCTCAGTAATTCACAATTCAATTATACTGCACTTTACTATTTATAATCACTAACATCAACTTTCACAATTTCCTCTACTTAAATGTAATTCCCAACGCGTTCACTTTACGTCTTCACTGATGTTAACGCCAACCAATTTGCTTTGTCACTGCTTGACTTGCAGCTGAGTGTCGCCTTTATATAGCAGTCGGCTGCTCGCAGACGAAAGCGTAGAAGCATCGAATTGTTCGCTATGGAAGGTTCTTGTTTTATCGTTTCTAGAACGTACTAGTTATCGGCTTCTCTCTTTCATCTGACATTCGCCTCGCATTTTCGCAACAATATTTTTATTTAACTAGCGCTTCCATTTTGCTATTCGTTAAAATACTGTTACGATTTTGCTATATCAACCTCGATGATTTTCTGAATCCTTCGGGTACGATCTCTGGATTGTTAAATAAAAACTCGCCAACTTAATTTGCAGTTTCTTTCGTTATAAAGATTCTATCTAATGTCCTTTATTTTCTCAGTAATTCACAATTCAATTATACTGCACTTTACTATTTATAATCACTAACATCAACTTTCACAATTTACTCTACTTAAATGTAATTCCCAACGCGTTCACTTTACGTCTTCACTGATGTTAACGCCAACCAATTTGCTTTGTCACTGCTTGACTTGCAGCTGAGTGTCGCCTTTATATAGCAGTCGGCTGCTCGCAGACGAAAGCGTAGAAGCATCGAATTGTTCGCTATGGAAGGTTCTTGTTTTATCGTACTAGTTATCGGCTTCTCTCTTTCATCTGACATTCGCCTCGCATTTTCGCAACATTATTTATACTTCGAACTCAGTCACAACGCAACTCTGAGGAACTAGTTTTTATCGTCCGTACTATCGATAGTTGTAAATGAACTAATCCCAAGAATGATCGCTATTTAGACTATTCTTGTCAGTACCATATCCATGTAAACAAAACATTCTATTTAATGATATTTCCATGATGACTACAACCCAAGTGAATTTTTCCTCCAATAAAGAATTGGAGGTGATTGAGTATCCAGCTAAAGTTGTTAATGTAGAAAAAATGGTAGAAACTCTAGGAGGCTTAACTAGTATATCCCATGTGAGTACATAAGATTATGATAAATTTACGGGAATTTGACTGAGGTATTGCTAGCTGGCGTCATGCTAACATGCAAAAAGCTATAGTAAATATTTTAAATAAAAATTTAAGCTAAATTTTCTAATTGCGATCGCTCCTCGACAGGAATCGGAAGCGGTTTAGTATAAACTGTAAAACCACAAGTTGGAGGAGGAGCTCGGCCGAAAATCTTTCAATCGGTTATAAAGCGCTCATTATATATATATATTACATGACATAACGTTCGACTAAAAGTCAATAGTTCAATAAAAACTTGGACGGAAAAATGAGAAAAGTGAATTAAAAGTTCCTTATTTTCTAGGGCAAAACTATAAAATTATTACCGCTGAAAAGAGTTAATATACAAATAAATGTATGAAAATATTTTTTTAGGCTTTGGGTAATGAACAAAAACGTTTAGAGCTCCGATTTCATCCAAAAAATCCTTACAACAAATCAGCTGGGGGCGATTGCGTCCAAGGCGCTGGTTTACTAATTTCCGTAAAGGTACGACGCTCAAAAAGGAATCTACTTCAACCTACTGAATATAGAGTGTGTATTCTTGGACACTGCAAACGAGCATTTTCTTTTAATAGTAAGTATTCCACGTTTTGATCCCATGTATTAAAAAAGGCTTTATTTAAAGTTTAATTAAATTATTTAGACTTAAGAGTTAAAATAAAAATAGGTTCACAATTATTTTGTATTAAATAGGTTTATGTGACTTTCAATACCTGCCTTTGTACAAACAGCCAAATGCTGCAGTCAGTGCTTTAACATTTAATTTATCGAAGCTAATACCACAATCGGTAACCGACACAAGTTATTTTTCGTAAGTAATAGTAATGCATTTATGTTTTTTATGATTTTCAAAAAATCTGGTGTTTTCAGGCAAACAGACCTACCTATGATAAGTTTACCACATATATTTGCACGTGTCGACACAATAAATTCAACAATATTTCGTGGAGATCAACAAGATGACGGTCAGCACGAAATTCTGGGGGTAATACAGAAAACCTCGTATGACAGTCGTGACATTGTACCCTTTAGTATGACAGATTCCTTCCCTGAACGTCCAGACTTACAAATAGTTAAACGTATGAGGATAAAATATGTGTCTGATGAACAGCTTCAGAAAGTAAAAAGTGTAAGATGATGTTGTTTTTTTTTTATTTCAGATTTGTTAAAAAAAGAATTTTTTTTCAGCTTTTTGAGGAATGTCCAATTTGGACACGCATAGCGCTGCTCCACGAATCTGGTGTATCCCACGAAAAACTGAAATGTATAGTACCCTCGTTATCGTATTACTTTTCGACGGGTCCATGGCGCACGTTATACGTTCGTTATGGATATGATCCTCGTAAGGATTTTAAAAGTCGCTACTACCAAACTTTTGACTACCGTTTACGCTTCCGGTCTGGTATGTCCGAATTTGTAAGTATTTTCTTTTCCAAAAATTATTTCAACTGCAATACGATATTATTAAGGTGGCAAATAGAAAAGATCAATTGAAAAAGTTAAATGAGACCCCATATGAATTCAATGAATTGGTGCAGGACATAAATCATCCGTACTTTGAAGAAAACAAACTACCACGATCGCGGCAATGTATTTTGAGAGTAAGCGAAATAGTATTTATTTTACGTTTACGAACATAAATATGTATATTGGATTTTTATATTTTCACAAAAAAATGTTATTTATTTAGTATTGCGATATCCATATGCCGAAAATTCAAGAGATGATAGAGAAAATACCTTCTCCACGTACTGGTGCAATATGTAACGAAAAGACTGGTTGGCTGCCGGCTGGATTTGACATGCAAGTGCGTCAAATAATGAGTAATAGCATAAAGGAGTTATTACGAAATCATTATCGCAAAGGTCATATACACGCCGAATTTGATGCAGTAGATAATGCGGTATGCTATCAGTGTCGTGGCTGCTATATATATATATAAATATATAATCATATATATATATATATATATAATTATATGTATATATATATATATGTCTTTAATAAAATATCATTGTTTTTGCTTCTAGGATGAAGCTGATGTTGACGAAGTATCATTTGACGATAATTTAGATAACAGTGAAATTTTCGACGAATGAATGCACTAAATGCAAATAAATACATTTGAACATATTAAATAAATGCAAGCAAAATCATTTTTGTTATTAAGAAGAATCCAATAATTTAAGGCTTGCAACGATCAAGAAAACGTGGATACAAGCAAACTTCGCGAATATGATAACGATTGAGTAGCCAACATAGGAAGCGTTCAACGCCTAGACCGTAGCCACCGTGCGGCTGTGTGCCATATATACGTTGATCTGTATACCAATAATAAGGAGTTGGATCAATTCCTTCACGTTCGTAGCCTTTAAGTAGTTCTTCATAGTCGTAAATCCTCATAGAACCCCCAACAATTTCACCAACGTTAGGCAAAAGTACATCAACACTCTCCGTCAAATTGGAATCTTCAGCACACTTTGACATATAGAAGGATTTTATATTAACTGGAAAACGGCACAACATAATTGGTTCATTTATTGTGTCGGTCATTTTTCGTTCCGGGGCTTCCGGTATATCCTAGTTAAGAAAAAAATTAAAATAATACAGAATTATTTCGAACATTTGAGCAACGATGTGTTAAAGGATGCGAGACAAAATTGAAGCTTTATGAAATATTTGATGAAAAACGTTTCGATATTTTTTTGTACATTTTCTAAATTTTAGAACTTATGCACTTTATAATTTTTAAAGTAAAAAGGAAATTCTGTAGATTTAATAAAACTAAAATTTGGGTACGAGTTGCTTAAAGAATTGACATTTTTAAACATTTAAGTAGTCGAATATGTCACATTTACATACCTCGCCATATTCATAGAAGCTGCCATCGTCTTTCGTTACGTTGTTTTCCTTTAGCCATTTAATGGCATCTGCATAATTCATACGACGGAAAGGTCTTTTTGGTACCTTGAATTCTGGATTAAGTTCATGAACAAGTGGTCCCATTGGTGATTTTAAGATGCGATCCACTACGTCGCATATCAAATCTTCCAAGCGGTCTAAAAACTCGTCAAATGTAACGAATGGACACTCAGCTTCTAAATGAGTATACTCGGCTAAATGACGGCGCGTACGACTTTGTTCAGCACGATAGCTCTGTGCTATACAGAAAACGTCACCAAGAGCTGGCAAACATGTTTCTAAGTACAGTTGAGAGCTTTGAGTTAGATATGCTTCTTCCCTTAAATAAATAAAAAAAAAACAATGAACAATTGGTCACATAAAAAGTGCTCTCAAACAAACTCGCTTTATTCAAACTTACCCAAAGTATTTTAATTTAAAAAGCGTTGAACCTCCTTCTACTTGTGTCTGTACTAATGTCGGTGGTGTTACCTCAACGTAGCCACGTTCTATATAGTGAGCACGGAAAGCTTGTAAAACTGCAGACCGCATTCTTAAAACTTTTGAAGTGTTTTCACCACGAATCATAATATGGCGATTATCTAGTTGAACATCGGGATGAGCTTCTTCGTTAAGAATACTCTCAGCGCCACCAGCAGGAGCTAAACCAATTAATTCCCAGTAATCTACAATTAATTCGTGACCACCTGGAGCCTAAAAAAAGGATTTATGTAGTAAAAAAACGAGATTAAAAAAAAAATTGCTTACCGATTTACCATCCGGCACAGGTTTCAACACACCAAATAAAACTACAGAGCTCTCAGTGGTCAACACAAGAGCTTCATAAGTTTGGCAGCGCTGATCGGTGAGCACGCATTGCAGAAATCCAGTTCCATCGCGTAGAGTTATGAATATTAATCCCTTTCCCTGTCGACGCAAGCGATGTACCCAACCATATACTTTAATGCGCTCTCCACGATATTCCTCACCGTGGCGAATGTAAATTCTGCGGGCAGTGGGTAAATTTGGGTCTTCCACTATTTTAATTTTACGTGCTTCTTCCAAATTTTGCAAACGCTTCTCATTATCATCTGCTTCGCGTTGTTGCTTCTCCGCATTTTTATAACCTTCGCGTGCAAAAATTTTATGTATTTTTTTTAATTGCGATTTTGCAGCAACTTCAAATTGGCCCTCCTCTTTTGGATCTTTACTATCTACGTAGATTGTGGGGAAAGGCTCAACTTTCGCATGACGCATAGCTTGTAATATTGTTTTGTATGGATTTTCTTTCGAACCATTGCCATTTTCGTCGCTACCACTTTTTTCAGAGGTATAAATTCCATCTATCGATTTCACAATATAAAATATTTTCAGATAATTCCAATTTTTCTAACTTACCAATTTGAGGAGATTCCGAACTTTCAGAGGCCATTGCAACGATTGTATCTTATTGCATCAGTAAAGGATGAATGCACCAGAATATTGAACAAAACCATGGACACGTTTCTCTCTAGTGCTACCAGCTATAAAAAAAATTCTTAAATTTTTTTTCCTTCGCCATTAAGCCTATGACAGATAAAACACTTTAGGTAGAAGTGCAGAATATCGACACCTCGCCCAGAGAAAATTAAATAGTGGAGGTTGTTAGAAATATTTAAGTGATTCAGAGTACAAAATTACCTTTCATTCGATGTACAAATTATTATAGGAAATGCCTGTACATATTATATAATATTTTATTTAAATTGAACCAAGACTAAGAGGAAGAAGGAAAAGAGCACGAGAAATAAACTAATTAAACTTACAAACGTGTGCTAGGCGAAACCGGTGTTTGTCCGGTTGAGGGTTACAATCAAAGTGCCGCCAAAGACCGCCGACTAACAAAGGTATTTTACTTAAGAATAGTGTGCAAGGCGAAGCCAATGTTGGTTCGGTTTAGGGTTACAATCTAAAGCGCGGCCAAAGGCCGCCAACTTACAAAGGAATTTTAGTTAAGAATACTGTGCAAGGCGAAGCCGGTGTTGGTCCGGCTGAGGGTTACAATATAAAAAGCGGTCCAATCATATTGTGGGTAGCTCCGTAAGAGCGCAGAGGTCTGTTGGCTACCCAAAGTTGGTAATCGTGCTGAAGGCACTGCCGTGGAGGCTGGAGGCGCACATGGGCTTTGGCAGCATGGAGCCACATAACTTGTTGTCCACTCCATATAGGTCTTAAGGCCTGAGCAGACCTTAAGATGACTGCAACCATTGCACTGGTTGCATCTAATCGAGGTGGATGAGTGGTGGAGTCTTTTGTGGCACACGCAGCAGAAATAATCCGTCGGATCAGGTTTGGTTTCGACGCCAGCCCTGATGAGAAGGATTTGGAGGATCCCAGCTGCAAGTTGTTGTTCCGTTGGCACACTTAGATTATTGTTACCTGTTGACCTACACGGGGTTAGATCGCCGATAGGGTGACAATCCTCGGCCGGATAAAGTCCGGGTCAACTCCGGTGCGTAGAACCGGCTGTCTTGAGAGTTGTAACACAGGTATAATAACGGGTCATAGTTTAATGAAAATTCGCGAGAAAAGAATGATTTTTTCAACAGCTGTAGGGCCTAAGTATGCCGGTAATGGCAGTACCTAAAATAACAGGAAGCAAAACCTAAAGCCTAAAAGTGTGCTAGGCAAATTGGGCGAATGATGATTTACGCTTAAGCACAACTCAAGAGTTAAACTTGTTATGAAATTTTTAATATTGTGGCGAAAATGCGAGGCGAATGTCAAATGAAAGAGAGAAGCCGATAACTAGTACATTCTAGACAAAGTTGACATTCGCTGAAACTGTTGCGTATGCACAAACACATGAAACGGTTGAAACACCAGATGTGATGACGGAAATATCGAGAACTCTGAAATCGCTACAAGAGATGAATCGTTCTGGTTTCAAGACTCAAGCGGGAAAATGCTTTAAATGTGGAAAGCCTGGTCACTTCGCAAGCGAATGCAAAACAAGTTCCAGCAGACAGGAGGTACAGCGAAAACGGAAGGCAGAGGAAGATGACTTCAAAATCGAGCACCGCAAGGGGAATACACACGGAAATGCTGACGCTATGTCCCGTCGGCCATGTAATATAGAATGTAAACATTGTTCAAAAGCTGAGGGTAAAGAATACATAATAGACGTACGGCTAATGGAAGTTACGCAAGCAGAAGAGTGGGAGGCAAGTAACATAAGGAAATGTCAGCAAGAAGATCCAGATTTAGAATTATTAATGCACGGGTTGAAGATAAATAGACGACCAAGTAAGGAACAAATGGCTGCGGAAAGTCCTATCGCGAAAGCATACTGGACACAGTGGAACAGTTTAGAGCTGATATCCGGCTGTTTGCATAGAGCGGTTCTATTGGGTTGGCTGTCGGCAATCGGTCGCGAAGTGGATTGCTAATTGCACGGAGTGCATTGCAGCTATAGCCCAAAGTCCCGAAGTCATAGGCAGATGAAGCAGTATAACGCAGGACACCATTTGAGCGGGTGGCCATGGATATAGCCGGTCCATTTCCTATGAGCAAAGAAGGAAACAAATACGTTCTTGTGGTTATGGACTACTTCAATAAATGGCCTGAAGTTTACCCAATCCCAAACCAAGAAGCTAAAACAGTTGCGGATGCATTCACTAACAATTGGGTTACCAGATACGGTGCGCCTTTAGAATTGCACTCAGATCAGGGAAGAAACTTTGAATCGGTGGTGTTCCAGGAGATGTGCCAGATATTTCGTATTCGAAAAACCCGAACGACAGCCCTACATCCTCAATCAGATGGTATGGTAGAGCGATTCAGCTGGACCTTGGAAGAGCACTGTTGTTGTTTTAACCGCAAAAATATTCCCCAATGTACTTTTTGGGGAATGTTGCGGGATTGACAGTCCTTGGCCGGATAAAAATCCGTGTCGTTCCGGTATAAGGACCCGACTGTCGCTGGAACTATTGGAATTTAGTCGCCTCTTACGACAGGCATGCCTTACCGTGGGTAATTTCTTGAGCCCCTAACCCGCACTTGCGGAAAGTAGTGGACAAGCATCAGGATGATTGGGATGTGCATATATCGCTTTTCCTTATGGGATATCGGTTTGCCGTGCATGTAACTACTGGGCAAACACCTGCGAGGATACTAGTGAACTACGGTTGCGCAGTGATTTAAAATTTGTCTACCGATCTCGAGGAAGAGCTAAGAGAGGTACATGCTCTTGTGTGACAGCTAACTCAAAATATGAGTGACAAAATGAAGGCTAGGTATGACAAGGCGATGAACTCCGAGGGTTTCCAAAATGGAGATTTGGTGTTGCTGTACAATCCACAACGGAAGAGAAGTTTGTCCCCAAAACTTCAATGTAATTGGGAAGGTCCATACAAGGTAATCAAACGGCTAAACGACGTAGTGTATCGGATCCAAACCGTTGGGAGAGCAAGAAACAAGATGAAAGTGGTCCACCTTTTGGAACAGCGAATGTGTCTGATCGGGACGATCAGACTTAGGTGGAGGACAGTGTTGCGATAATGCGAGGCGAATGTCAGATGAAAGAGAGAAGCCGATAACTAGTACATTCTAGAAACGATAAAACAAGAACCTTCGATAGCGAACAAATCGATGCTTCTACGCTTTCGTCTGCGAGCAGCCGACTGCTATATAAGGGGACACTCAGCTGCCAAGTTAAGTTAGTTACAAAGTGAGCTCGTTGGCGTTAACATCAGTAAAGTCGTAAAGTAAACACGTTGGAGATTACATTTAAGTAGAGTAAATTGTGAAAGTTGATGATAGTGATTGTAAATAATAAAGTGTATTGTAATTGAATTGTGAATTACGGAGTAAATAAAGGACATTAGATAAAATCTTTACAACGAAAGATACTGCAAATTAAGTTGGCGAGTTTTTATTTAACAATCCAGAGATCGTGCCCGAAGGATTTAGAAAATAATCGAGGTTGATTTAGTAAAATCGTAACAGTATCTAGTCATCATTGGTCGGCTTAAGCATTACTAATACGTCTGAGTTTACGTGAGTATACTTTTATCGCTAATTTTCGTAATTATCTTTTTGGTATTGCTCTTCGCGTTCACACAGAGACACTTTCTTCAAGCAATTTTTTGGACATTTGTTTCTACTTAAGTTTTTTTCTATTCCGCTTTATTTTATACTCGCAATTTTTTTCGCTTCGAGCTTTTTATTATTTCTTTAATAAAAATACTATGTTTGTGAAAATGAAAACGCAGCTTTTATTTATCTACTTTTTTTTATATATTTTTACATTTGATTAAACATCAACTCTACTTTTTTCAAAATGTAATCTAATTACATATCTCATCCTTTACACTATCATCAGAATCAATCCCAACGGCTTTTCGATCCGTTCTAATATTTCTTGCTTTAGTTAATTTTATCAGCAAACTACATTATCTGAAAATGAATTGGCAGATACATAGACGCACAGGCATATATGTTTGTATGCACATATAAATATTCTAGTAAAAACCCAAATTTCAATTCCAGTTCAAAGTGAAAAGCCCAATAAAAGGAAAAGCCAAAATTTACATACGAATAGAAACACAAAACGTGTCGAAAGAGCACAACGACACGGTGCGCTGTCGCCTTCGACCTGGCTTATGTGAGCAAATCGCTTCTCCAAAAAAATGAAAAACAAAAAAAGCACATTTTTTTGAAGCGAAACATTATATTCTATATTAATAATAAAAAGTTAAAAATTGCTAAAGAAACTTTAGAGCAGAACAAGATAGTACATTCTTGATTTTATTAACTTTTAATCAAAGCTTTTATTTTCCCTTCGCTTTCAAATGGAACAAGTAAACCAACGAAACAGAAAACTGTCAAATTGAGTGCCGTGTTAATAGCGTAATTCGTGTTCGTAATTGAGAGGACGAACAATGTAATTCACAATGTCGTGGAAAAGTCATTAAGTGAGTACAGCGATTATTGTCAAAAATATAAATCGATAAGCGAAATTACTTACTTCTCATACAAACAATTTCTACTTATAAATAACAAAATAAATAAATTCGTTTGTAAATTTGTTAAAGACAATTTAGAATCATGTCAAAACCGAATAAAAGAGCAGCGGTTGGTTCCAGTTCGGATGAATTAGATAGTGAAGAAGAAGATCGGTTAAAGGATCTTAAAGAACGAGATGAATTTGCTGAGCGGCTGAAGAAACGGGATGAGGGTAAAGTGCGTAAATTACTGGAATCGAGTTCTAGTCGGAAGGCTATAGAAGAAGCAGCCAAACGGCTGAAGCTTGAACATGAAGACCGTGACAGAATTCTACCACAGCTTCGTGTGCAATCTCGCCGAAAGTATCTGGAAAAACGGAAGGAAGATAAGGTGGCTGAGTTGGAGGCAGATATTTTAGATGACGAATACCTCTTTGATGAAAAAATGTATGTTTGCAAATTTATCCATTTAAAAAAGCATATTTCTTTTGTTATTATTAACATAATATCTTAAAAAATTGATCAAACATTTTTATATGGTTTAGCTTGACAGCAAGGGAGCGAGAGGAGAGAGAATACAAAAAACAGCTTTTACAAATTGCTAAAGAACATGAACGTGCCCGTGAGTTAGAGCGTATTCAACGTTATCATATACCACAAAACCTAAAAAAAGGCGAAAAAGGTAAAAAAAAAGACAAAATGCAATAGCATTCTATTAACTATGTGGAATTAAATTATTTAAAGAGGAATATGTCGAAGTGGATGAATTGGAAAAGCAACCCAACTCGGAACAGAAGAAATGGGAAGCCGAACAGTTGGCATCAGCGCAGTTTCAATTTGGCTCAAAAGATGCAAAAATTAAAGAAGAATATGACCTATTGTTGGAAGATCAAATTGAATTTATACAAGCGCTTACGATGGATGGTTCTAGAGATGATTCCTCAAAAAAGTCTGAAATATCTGAAGCAGAATGGAAGCGTATGACAATAGAAGAAACGCAAAAATCTTTGCCAGTATATCCATTCAAAGAGGACTTAATAGAAGCAGTAAGGGAACATCAAGTAAGCATGTAGTTGTTCTATAAATAAAAATATAAAAATATTTATTTCAGATACTTTTAGATTTTAATAGTTGAGGGTGAAACGGGTTCTGGCAAAACAACACAAATTCCTCAATACTTAGTAGAATCTGGCTTTACCGAAGGTAACAAGAAAATTGGCTGCACGCAACCACGACGTGTAGCTGCTATGTCTGTAGCGGCGCGTGTTGCTGAAGAGATGGGCGTGAAACTAGGTAACGAAGTTGGCTATAGCATTCGTTTCGAAGACTGCACATCCGAACGAACGATACTTAAATACATGACTGATGGTACATTACATCGAGAGTTTTTATCAGAACCAGATCTAGCTTCTTATAGTGTTATGATAATTGATGAAGCTCATGAACGTACTTTACATACAGATATTTTGTTTGGACTTGTTAAGGATATAGCACGTTTTCGGCCTGAGCTAAAGCTTATTATATCTAGTGCAACGCTGGATGCTGATAAGTTTTCAAAATTTTTCGATGATGCTCCTATATTTCGGATACCTGGACGTCGCTATCCGGTAAAATATGTTAACTATTGAATTATGAAATTATATTAATCAATTAAAGTATTTATTTCTTTAGGTCGATATATTTTATACCAAAGCACCAGAAGCAGATTATATTGATGCGTGTTGTGTGTCAGTTTTACAAATACATGCTACACAACCCCTTGGTGATATCTTGGTTTTTCTCACAGGTCAAGATGAAATAGAAACATGTCAAGAAGTTTTGCAGGATCGAGTTAAGCGTCTGGGGTCCAAAATACGTGAACTTGTTATCATACCAGTGTATGCCAACTTGCCTAGTGATATGCAGGCTAAAATTTTCGATCCCACACCACCAAATGCGAGAAAAGTTGTATTGGCCACAAATATTGCTGAGACTTCGCTTACAATCGACAATATAATATATGTGATTGACCCAGGCTTTGCTAAGCAAAATAATTTCAATTCACGCACTGGTATGGAATCATTAATGGTTGTGCCTATTTCAAAGGCATCTGCAAATCAACGTGCTGGTCGTGCAGGGCGCACCGCGCCTGGCAAGTGTTTCCGTCTTTATACAGCATGGGCTTATAAGCACGAATTAGAAGATAACACTGTTCCAGAAATTCAACGCATTAATCTCGGCAACGCAGTGTTAATGCTCAAAGCGCTCGGTATAAACGATCTTATACACTTCGACTTTTTAGATCCACCTCCTCATGAGACACTCGTCTTAGCTTTGGAACAACTTTATGCATTAGGTGCTCTGAATCATCATGGTGAATTAACAAAGTTGGGTAGACGTATGGCTGAATTCCCAGTTGATCCCATGATGGGCAAAATGTTGCTAGCAAGCGAAAAGTAATTATGATTAGATATACAATTATAAAATTTTTAATTTCAATTTCTTAAATTTTAGGTACAAATGTTCAGAGGAACTAGTGTCGATTGCAGCAATGCTGTCCGTAAATAGTGCAATTTTCTATAGACCAAAAGATAAAATTATACATGCTGATACTGCTCGAAAGAATTTCAATCATTTGTCTGGCGATCATCTAAGCTTATTACAGGTCTACAATCAATGGGTTGATACTGATCATAGTACACAATGGTGCTATGAAAATTTCATCCAATATCGATCCATGAAACGTGCTCGTGATGTACGTGAACAACTAGTTGGTTTAATGCAACGAGTTGAAATCGATATGGTCTCATGCCTGCCGGAAACGGTAAATGTGAGAAAAGCCATAACAGCTGGTTATTTTTATCATGTTGCAAAATTGTCAAAAAGTGGCAATTATAAAACCATAAAACATAATCAGACTGTACTGATACATCCCAATTCATCGCTTTTTGAGGAGTTGCCCCGATGGGTGTTGTATCACGAGCTCGTATTTACCACCAAAGAGTACATGCGGCAGGTAGTCGAAATAGATAGCAAATGGCTGTTAGAGGTTGCCCCACATTATTATAAAGCTAAGGAACTAGAAGATTCGACCAATAAAAAGATGCCTAAAGTCACAGGACGTGCTGTTATGACACAATAAATAATGCTTTCATCAGAATAAAAGGAATGGTGTGATCTTAAATGTTGAGTTGGTTATGATTTTAGCAAATATTATTTATAAAAAAGGCATTGTAAAAATCTAAAGGACATTAGGTTGCAAATAAGAAGTACAAAAGAATCAAAAATGGTGGACATGCATTAGTAGTGTTTCGAGCATAAACTTCAAAACTGAAAAATTAAACAAGGCTCAGCAGGGTAGATTTTTTTGCTTCTGTGTAGAGAAGGTCGATGACGTAAAAATTCCGACTGTAAACAACCAAAAGATATTGGGAGTGACACTAGACAGCAACATACTCATAGCGGTAGCCCGCAGCACCCGGAGCCGGTCGTTAATAATGCTTCACCGATCTGAGCCTCGGGTATGAACGAGACGCAGATGAAGAAGTTACAGACTTGCCAGAACACTGGCCTCAGAACTGCGACGGAAACCTTTTCTCTTTGTCACTTTTTTTCTTCTCTGCATAATCGCCATATATTTCAATGCATTTCCTAAGCCTAAGATCCGCTTATGAAAACCGTGCTCAAAATCTTGATTTTTAAGCTTATCAAGTGCAGCATTAACCGCATTAATTATTTCCTTGTTGCTATTAAAACCTTTCCTTTTAATTTTTTTATTTTTGAAAATAACCAGAAATCACAAGGCGCTATATCCGGGAAATATGGTACTGGACATATTTCTTCGATCCCAGAGATCGCAATAAAATTACTATTTATTTCAACAGTGGCGCGTTGTTGTGTTGTTGTTTTCACCGCAAAAAAATACCCCAATATTCCCAAAGCGCGTTGTTATTTTTGGGCCTCATTTAAAATTCGAGGTACCCATCAATCAGATTCCGTCGTGTATCCTATACTTAATATTCGCGTTACAGCCATGACATTCAAGTCCAATACATTAGCAATCATTTGTTGTGACAATCAGGGGTCTTCGTCAATTTTGGACTTCACCAGAGCTACAGTGGCGTCTTCAGTGAAATATTTTGGTTGACCTTCTCAGGGCTCGACCTCTACGGAAGCCACTTAGAAATAGTCTTCGGAGCCACTTAGAAATAGTCTTTAAAAACGGTGGAATTTCTGTTTGAGTAGGTGGTTGAATTTCGTCTGACCTATCCTCAGCTATTTTGCGTTATCTCTTTTTAATTTAAGCAGATCGTTCTAAAATTTGAAAGGAGGACTAAAAAAGTAAATGTAAAGGATTTGGTAATTTAAAGATTTACCGAAAAGAAATTGAAAGTAATCAACTTACCGAACTTTTGATAATCCCGTTGTATGTGCATAAATATCAGACGGGTTGCATTTTCAAGCAAGGACATGGCCTAAAGAATCTGAATTCAGAGGTGTAGGCTATTAAATCTAAATTTCATACTCGCCTGGTGTCCTAATGAATTTAATATATTATATATTGAATACGGGAATGGTGCATTTGAGTTCGGTGGAGAAATAGATCTAGCGGACAGTGTTATGAAACACAATTGCTATTGCTAGATTGATGCTATTGTAGATTACAAATTTTATATGCTTTTGTTCATTGGTATGCAGGGGAATGGAACGGACATACGAAAGTGCTTTGCTACTTTAGCGAGACTATGAGCGGACGGTGGCAGCTTTGATGATAAACTTTAAATTACTTTCGGTAAAAAAAAAAATAAGTAAAATATTTTTGATACCTTTCCATAAAAAATAGTTATTTGTATTTTTGTATTGGTACTTGAATGTTTTAGTATTTCTAATTAAACTCTTCAATAAAATCTTAAAACGGATTGTACTATTTTTTATTATTTCGTTCTACTGGATTTACCTCATTGGTTTTTATACAAATGACTATATATGTGTTAATTTACGAAAACAAACCATTAAAAGCTAAAATCAATATAAATAACATAAACACAAAAAAAAATCTGTAACTAATATTACAAAATATAAATAAAAATATAAAAATGCTTAAATGATATTTAAATTAAAAATAGAATTTCATATCATTTACCGCCTCTTTTTTATGAAGACTAAAAATAAATGGTATTAAAAATAGGATAATGAGCCTTATATATTTAGTTTCTTATATAAAAAAATATATAATATAGGAAAAGAGTATTATTTGAGATTAATTTAATTTTTACAGCTTGTACGAAAAATCTTACGTCACCATACTCTGCGACATCTAGCCGGAACGGTACAACCAGAGAGCGTTAAATAATATACGTTCTTTGTCTATACTCTACTATAAAACACGATGCCGAAATCGATTAATAATCGACTATAAGAAAAATATATTTATTTAGATTGAACGTTCTTATCAATCGGGTGTGAATACTTTTGGCTAAAGATATTTTTGATTTAATTATAGAACTGATACTGGGTAATTAATTTAATATTTCGTTATCAAAAGAGAGAAGAATTATTTGTTTTTAACACATTGAAATTAAATTGTGGAGAAATATAAGTTTAGCGTCTAGTGGTCAAACATGATTTTCTAACCTAAAAAATTGTGAAATATATCTTAAATTTTTATTTCAATAACCTTTTAATACGTAAATTATTTCATATTTGCGGTTAGATATATAAATAATGGCTGCACAATTTTTCAATCGTATCGGCCAACTGGGTCTTGGAGTTGCTGTCTTGGGTGGCGTTGTTAATTCGGCGTTATATAATGTAGATGGTGGACACCGGGCTGTAATATTTGATCGTTTTACCGGCGTCCAACAAGAAGTAGTTGGCGAGGGTACGCATTTTTTCATTCCATGGGTTCAAAGGCCTATTATATACGACATCCGCTCGCAACCCAGGAATGTGCCTGTTATAACTGGCAGTAAGGATTTGCAAAATGTAAACATTACATTGCGTATTCTTTATCGCCCCATACCCGACCAATTGCCAAAAATTTATACCATCTTGGGACAGGATTACGATGAGAGGGTTCTTCCATCAATTGCGCCTGAAGTACTCAAAGCTGTGGTTGCACAGTTTGACGCCGGGGAATTAATTACTCAACGTGAGGTATGTTACAATGTTTTACTTCTATGATGAAATTATAAATTTTCTACATACATAATTTGTGTAGATGGTATCCCAACGTGTATCAGAGGAGCTTACCGAACGAGCCAAGCAATTTGGTTTTATTCTTGATGATATATCTCTTACACATTTGACCTTTGGACGTGAATTCACCCAGGCGGTAGAAATGAAACAGGTTGCACAGCAGGAGGCTGAAAAAGCACGTTTCGTAGTAGAGAAGGCTGAACAGCAGAAATTGGCATCTATTATTTCCGCAGAGGGTGATGCCTCAGCTGCAGGTCTTTTAGCTAAAGCATTCGGCGAAGCCGGAGACGGTTTAGTGGAATTGCGTCGCATCGAAGCGGCTGAGGATATTGCATACCAACTTTCAAGATCACGGGGTGTTGCATACTTGCCAGGTGGGCAGAATACCCTTCTCAATTTACCTGCGTCTTTGGCGCAGTAAACGACACTTAAAAACTTATTGAAAATAATTAGCATTTAATATACTATATATGGTTACTTGTTTTTCTTTTGTACATTATCTAAAAGCTAAAGCTGTGTGACTGCTTCTATTAGATAATAATAATAAGCTAAAGTGATTTCCAAGTTTTGTTGTATGGAAATTCTATAATTTAATTGTTTCTTCATCTATTTAGCTAAAAGATGTGAAAAATCGGGTATGTATAAAACTACTTTTTCCACGATTATTAGATGCTAGTTTCTCTAATAACAAAGGACAAATAATAGTGTTTATTTAATTGAAGTACCTACCAAAAGTAAACATTTAAATTTGATATGGAAATCTGAATATTAATTTGAATAAGAGTTTTTCATTGCGGCTACACATACTATAGGAATCGATACAGATGAGCATCTACAATCATTGTGCCTGCGTTAGCATAACGGCTAACTTTGCCATGCCCTTCCTGTCGATCTAAATTATGGTTTGACTCAAATTTTATCCGGCCAAATTTCATTTTCTATTGCGTTGTTGTTGCAGCGGTTCGCTAACCCTGCTTACGGACAGATTTAATCAATCTAAGCCGCCGAAGTCATCTAATGGTAGGTCCAGGAAACGGGAGAGGGGTATTAGATGTGTAGGCTTAAGGATTATGTGAAGAGGTGGTTAGTGTAGTTCGGAGGCTATCCACCCTACTATAGCATCCCAACAGGAATTGCATGCGGAGTAAATAATTATATTCCTTAATTCTTAGCATAGAGTCTTCACTGTGCAAATGAAGCTCCGGCGACATCAAAAAGTTTCCTGTCGAGGTCCTGAGAGCGATGCCTGCAGTCTCTTCATCTGCGTCACGTTCGTCCCCGGCGCCCAGTTTGGCGCAGCATAGTTTACGACCGGCTGGCCACTTGCTTTGTATGTTGCAGGCAAGGTTTCTTTGCCCTTACCCCAGGTGCTGCCGGCTTGCGCTTTGAGTATTTTGTTGCGGCTCTGGAGTTTTGCGGCAATTGCGGTCGCATGCGGAGTGAAGGAGTTCCGGCTAGTCTAGTGTCTACTGTGACTCCCAATATTGTTTATAGTCGGAATTTTTACTTCATAGACCTTCACATCCACCACCCTGCCGAGCCCCCTGTTTAATTTCGATGTTTCACCTCGGACTATTACCGATAATTGTCGACCACACAGGTAGCCCATGACCAACCTCTCCAAACCCGGCGGTAATGAGGATTCCTCAATGTCCCTTAGCAGCACTGAATGGTTGACGATGTCAAGTGCTTTTGACAGATCCAGTTCTACCAGGGCAGTTTGCGTGCAGGGTCGGCTTTGGTTAAGGCCATTGACTATCAGAGTGTTTACGGCGCTTAGCACTGTTGTGGTACTATGCACTTTAGGGAACCCATGCTTATGTGCTGCTGGACTCAGGTGGTGAGTGACGTGAGCACGTAATAACCTGCAACCTTTCGTCTAGGGGCAGCCAAGTTTGGGGCCAAAGTCAAATCACTTTCAAACCCGGCGTGACGTATTGACCGAGTGTCCTCAACTTATCTTTAACCAACCTAAAAATACATGATATGTGGAAAATAAGCAGGGTGGTCTAAATGAGAGACCTATCGGCCGATATCTGTGCACTCCCCAGTAGCGATGATTCTTACGGCCTTTCTGCTCCCGACCTTCGCACAACATCTGAGTCCAGCCGCACATCAGCAAAACGCACAGTACCACTACATCACTTAAGGCCATGAACTGTCAGATATTCAATGGTCTCAACCAAAACTGATCCTGTGCGTGAACTGTCCTGGGAGCACTAGACCTGTAAAAAGCTTTTGGAACGGTCAATCATTCAGTGATACTATTGAGGAATCCTCATTATGTCGGAACTCAGATAGATTAAACAAGGAGTTCCGCAATTAGTGGTTTTTGCGTCTTGATGTTTTTCCACCAAATGGAGGGTTTTTTACGAGGAGCTTTATTTCATGTCCGAAATAACCTCGGAGAAAATCTGACTAATTCTCACTGCAACACATAAAATCCTCGGCTACCCTCGGATAAGTCAATGTGAAAGTGGGCGGTCAAAGTTCCGACTATAAACAACCCAAAGTTACTGGAAGTTATGTTCGTCAGCCTTCACTCCGCATACGACGGCAATTACTGCAGTAGAGTCATTTTGCTATTCCTAATAATTTGTTGATTTGCATCTATTAATTTTAAAGATATTAAAGTGTTGAAAAAAATTAATACTGGAAGTTACAGGAAGGCAGGTTCTTCTGATCGAAACTTTTGCTTATATAAGCTTTGGCCAGTAGATCCATCGAAATTGTACCTTACTATTAACATGCAACGTGAAACATTTTTCATTTGAGATATTAAATCTTTTCGTAAGACCAATATTCTTTCGGCTGAGTGGTTCAAAAGGTTTTGCATTGGAGTCTGCGCAAAATATTCCTAAATTTCTGTTTGAATTGGCCTGCAAAGAGTTTTGACAACTTTAAAATTGGTGAACATATAGCAGCCACGAGCTTTATTAAGATGTTGTTGTTATTAAGATGTTGTTGTTGTTGCCAACCTCGCTTAGGCACAGGTTTGATCAGTCTAAGTCGCCAACTCTCACGACAGCCGGTTCTACGCACCGGAGTTGACTCGGATTTTATCCGGCCAAGGGCTGTCACCCTTTCGGTGACCTAGCCCCGTTTAGGTCTACAGGTATTAAGATGATGTGTAACATCATACTGCCTTTGATAAGTCAACTTTCCAACAAATATGCTAATGACCCTAGAGAGGTAAGGGGAAAAATAATCTGAGATTTTCGATCTTCAGATTGTTCTTATCTGACGACTTTGAACGCATTAACAAAATCATCTTCTTTCGTCTTCTTCGTAGAACCAGTAGCATCATGTAATAAGTGCTGTGTTGAAAAGTCTATGTTTGATGCAAAATCACTTGTTAATTTATGCTTTAAGCGCATTCCAGCATGTGAGTAATTTAATTCATCCAAGGTTATAATAGATGGAGGGATCTACATTTTATATTGGATGAGTGCATAAGTTCGTGCCCGATTCCGCTGGATGCCGTTCGAATCGTTTGAGAGTGGCGCTACTGTAAATCAAGCATAAAATAACTTCATTTTGATTTGAGTTGCTTAGTGAAAAGACGCATGGGAGCTGGACAACGAAAAAGATCTCATGTGTCATATTATGTTATACGAATTCCGCAAAGGAAAACCAGGCTGCAACTAAAGATATTCGCGAAGTTTATTTGGACCGTGCTCCAGCACTCCGCACAGTAAAGAAATGGTTCGCGAAATTTCGTTCTGGAGATTTTAACCTCGAAGATCAACCTCGCAGTGGACGGCCTTCTGAGCTTGATGACGATGTTCTAAGGACTTTAGTTGCGAATAACTCACGTATTTCGACGGAAGAGGTTGCCAGTGAATTGAACGTCAACAAATCAACTGCGTTTCGTCGTTTAAAAAAAATTTTGGGTACACTTTGAAGCTCGATACATGGGTGCCACATCAGTTGAGTGAAAAAAAAACAAAGTGGACTGTATGTCAACAGCAATTTCTTTGCTTCGACGGATCAAAAAACTCACCTTTTTTGGATCGGCTCGTGACTGGTGATGAAAAATGGATCCTGTACAACAATGTTCAACGCAAAAGAACATGGAAACAGGCACACGAAGGGGCGGAAGCGATGTCGTAAGGTGGATTGCATCCGATGAAGGTACTGCTGTGCATTTGGTGGGATATCCGAGCTGGAGAAACGATCACTGCCAACAAGTATTGTCAGCAATTGGTCGAATTGAAGAAAGCAATTGATGAAAAACGTCCGATTTTGACCAATCGCAAAGGAGTTCTTTTCCATCATGACAACGCCAGGCCACATATTGCAAAACCGACCCTGGCCAAACCGAAGGAGATGAATTGGGAAATCATGCCGCATCCCCCATATTCACCCGACATTGCACCTTCTGATTATAATTTGTTTCGATCGCTGTAGAACAATTTGAATGGAAAAAAATTTAAAAATGTGGAAGACGTCAAAAACCACCTTGACACCTTTTTCAACGAGAAACCGCGCGATTTCTATGAATCAGGCATCCGTAAATTGGTTGAACGTTGGGAGTGGATTGCCGAACATGATGGCGAATACATAATTGATTAATAAAAGTGCTTTCTTTCAAAAATTTCAATTTTAGTTTGCACTTGAAATCGGGCACGAACTTATGCACTCATCCAATACTAAGCTGCCTCCATACGGCTGATGGTTTTTTTACGAGGAGCTTTTTTTCATGTTAGAAATAAACTAGGAGGAAATTTAACTATTTCTTACCCATAACCCATAAAATTGTGAAAGTCGACGGCGTCAAAGTTCCGACTAAAAACAACCCAAAGTTTCTGGAAGTTACATTCGACAGCCGTCACTCCGCATACGTCGGCAATTACCGCAAAACTGTAGAGTCGTAATAAAATCCTCAAAGCGTTAGTAACAGTACATGGTGAAAAGATAAAGAATCTTTGCTGGCAACGTACAAAGGAATTTGTCGGCCGGTCGTAAAATATGTTGCACCGATCTGGGCACCGTGGACAAACGAGCCGAAGTTGAAAAAGTTATATATATTAGACATTTTGTATAATACCATTAATTAAAGTACTATTTATTTATGTGGCTAACTTATTACCATATGCATATGTATCTATGTGTATATATATATTATTAATAGTATACCTAACTGGAAAAAAAATCAGTTCCTAATTATTTGCCGCCGGCTGTGTGGATTTATTTAAGTGCAGCCGAATGAAAAAATAAAAGAAACATCTAACTGCCCAACAATTGTGTTTGTCACTTTTCTCTTACAGGTTCCAAGTACGTTATGGATTGACGCAAAAGAGGATGGAGAAGAGTTTTATGGCGCCCATTTGTCAATAGTGAACTCCATCTCGTTCGTACGTATTGCAGAGTAAAAAGCTTCGGATATAAAAGTGTGCTGCAGTGAGGAAACCCCCATTTGCCCATGAATAACTAAAAATGGCATTTAAAGATACATATGTACGAGTATGTATATATACAAGCACAAAGAGACCGAATATTGTGTACTTCGTCATCAGAAAAGCAACGACGACGGTGCGTTGAATTTAACCAACTTATTATATAGGGTGTTTCAATAATAGAAAAACCATACTGTTTGTTTAAACAAACTCAAACAGTTGAATTTAAGTAATTAAAGAATTTTGAATTTTAATTATTGATTGAA